TCATTAGTGAATTTTTTGACTAAAGTCGTCTAACTCATCACTCGTTATGTATTGTGGGGGTAGAGTACTGGATGTTGTTTAGAGCTTTGGTATAGTTTGACCAATTCGTGATAACAGCTCTTTTGTCTGGTGTGCTATGGCAACTTATGTCTAATTCAATTTCGACTGGGTTGTGGTCCGAGGAAAGCTCATCTAATGTTTGAATTTTAGATGGAGCTTGGATATTTTTTTAAATGAAAAAGTCGAGGGTAGAAGCATAAGTAGATCCATAGCGTGTTAAGGTGGGTGGAGCTGCAATATGAAGGTTGGCTGTATTAGCAAATTTTCGTAGTGTGGTGCCTAGGGAAATTAGTAGAACTGCAGTTCCAAGCGCGATGTCTGGCGTTAAAGTCTCCTCCAACAATGATTCGATTGTTGAGTTTGAATATCATGCTTAAATCTGCAATGATATCGGTTGTAGGTTTGGATGGTGGTACGTAGAGAGAGACTTAAAGTGTGTATGTGGTGTGGTGGGTGGTATGATGGTGATAGCTACTGCCTGCCTCGGTGGCTAAAAGCTGTGGAATTGTGATTCGGTAGTGAGTGATGGAGCGCTTAATCAAAATGATGACACCTCCAGCTGTACGATTCGTGCGTGGTCTGTCATATCTATGTAAATCATAGTTTGCAACGTGAAAAGTGAAGTTTGGACCAAGGATGTGTTCCTGTATGAGGAGTGCATCAGGGTTATACTCATTTATAAATTCTTTTAGTTCTGAAATTTTCGTGTTGAGGCCTTGCGTGTTCCAAGTAATTATTCTCGTGTATCTGGTGTGATTATTCATGATCGGGTTCATTAAGCTCTTCTATTATCAGAAATAAAATGTACATTTTTTCCATTTGTGTTTGTGCTGATCTGAGGTTGTTGAGGTTTTTCTTGAGTAAGTTTGTTAGTTTTGTGATTTGCTTTTGGCCAAAGATGGATTCAATTTCTTTCATTATTTGAAAAAGTTCTAAAAATACAGACGTGTTTAAATTTTGATTTCCTTTGGGGTTAATTTGTTCTGTGGTTTTATTTGAGCGATTATGTTCAATTTTGTTACTGTTGGGGGTGTGTGTAGCCGGAGCTGTGTTCTGATTGGTTGATGTGTCAAACTGTATATTTTCTTGTGTTTTTTGAGTTTTTGGATTTAGAGTTTCGGAATAAAGTTTTCTGGGGCCTTGTGAATTAATGTTTCGTGGTTTGGGAAATTTTTCGCATCCTCTGTAGGAAGCTGGGTGTGAATTTTGGCAATTGGCACATACTGGATCTTCAATGAATCCTTTTTTTGGGCATGAGATAGATTTGTGATCCCCTGCGCATTTGACACAACGGGGTGTCAGGAAGCAATTTTCGGATGAGTGGTGCCATTTCTGCAGTTATGACATTGTGGTATGAGGTTTTTGTTAACATATTTTTCAATTTGTACTATGAATAGTGATATGTATGTGATGTAAATTTCTTCAATGTTGGGTGTGGGTACGAGTTGTGTTTGAAATAGAGGCATGGGCTGTTGTGTACGATTTCGTGTCATCTGAGTAATTTTATGTACTTTAAGTCCTTGTTCTGTGAGAATGTCATGAATTTCATCCGTGTCCATGTCTATGGGGAGCCCTCTGATTACAACCTTCACAGGTTTAAGATGTCGTGCGTTTATGATGTAGTGTTCTATGTTTTTGTCTTTAATGAATTTGGGTGTATTTTTAGAAATTCGCCGTTGATACGGCCTAAGAACTTTGCTTTGGATTGGTCTGCTAGCTGTTTTAAATAGTTGTTGTATTTTGTGTTATCTGGTGGTTTCACCATGACTGGGGGTACCGATTTGTGTTGTGGAGGTGTAATTGTTTGTTGAGTGTCAGAATCATTTTGTGTTTCTGGGTTGTTGTCATTTTGAGAAGTAGTGCCGTCGTTATTGTTATCCAGGGGGCTAAATCTATTTTTGGTAGCAATGTAGTTTGATGCGTCTTTTAAATTGGCAAATTTTTTGGTCTGCTTGCTAGTTCTGGTCGGTTTAACAAATCCTACATTGTGCTCATTGCAATCATCCGAGTTTTCAGAAATGTCATGCTGTTTTTTTTAATTCATGCTACAAGTATTAGCGTTACAATTATCTAAGTTTCTCTCAGGTGGGCAATGATTTGGGTTATTTACGGGGGTCCTAGCACACAATGACATAAAATGATTTAGTCTTGCCGATAATGATCAAGCCGAATATTGATTTCAAGGCGGTTAACGAATGACCCGGAACAGTTAAACGTTCATGAAGCATTATCTCGCCAAATACATCTGCGCCTAAAAGAATATCTATTGGGCCAGGCTGGAAGCAATTTGTATATGCCAATCACAAGTGTTTAAAAGCTGTCAAAACAGACCTATCAACTTGATATTGAGGACGGTCGCATGTGATCTTGGGTATAATTAATGCATTAACTGAAATGCTTGCGTTTTTGTAAAATGGAGATGCTACTTGTAATTGAACTGAACCTGAAACCTTTCCAATTTTTTGTGAGCTTAGGCCATTCAAACTTACGTTTCATTTATTCGGGAGCACTGTGTAAATTTATTGCAGTACTCTTTAGCTGCAATAAATTTACACAGTGCTCCCGAATAAATGAGCCCTGGTTACCTGAATCAATTAGCATCCTGCATTTTTGTAAATCACCATTAATATCTTTAACATAAACAACCGCAATAGGCAATAAAACTGCCTGCATGACGGGCACCGTGGCGTTATTGCTACTAATAGCAGAAGTTCCATGGGTATATGACATTTTTCATCATTTGAATTTTTCGAACGTAACACTGCATTATGTGGCTTTGAACAAGATTTACACATACCTGCACAACATTTAAAAATGGGACGCGTTTTACTGTCTTTCAAACAATTAGCACATAATTTATTCCTTTTAATAATATCCCATTTTTCTTTGATGGGGAGTTCCTAAAAAGCTATCACATTTAAATAACTGAGAATGAGAATTACTCTTACAATGAATGCACACATTAGCCACAAGTTGGGACAAAAAAGCGTATCTACCACCTGAACTGTGAGTTTTAATTTCAGAAAGCAAAACTGTCTTCTCCCTTTGGCACTTCGCCAAAGAGGAAATAGCATGCGCTCTGTTTAAAATAAAGCGCTTGAATTCAGCGAAAGCAGACATTTTTTTTTGGTTATAAGCTCTATCGTTCACTCTTTTAGTGTTTCATGATCAAGTTTTCCTTTTAACAGAAAAATAATCATAGTATCCCAATGCTCTACTGGCTATTTAAGGATTTTTAATGTATCAATACACTGTTGTGTTTTATCAATTAATCTCTGCAAACCTGAAGCTGATTCATGTTTTAGAACAGGCTGTGAATTTAATTTATTTAATGCTGCGTTTGTTATTTCTATTTCGTTTTCATAACGTTTAGTAAGCACTTTCCATGCCTTTTCATAATTCACATTTGAAATTTGAACTTATTGTAGTAAACAGCAGCTTCACCTTTCACAGAAAACTTAAGATATTGCAATTTTTGACTGTCACTTAATGTACTATTACTTCCAACTCTGGCAAGAAATAAATCCCTAAATGGTATCCAATCAACGTAATTAGAAGTAAACACTGGCAGTTCTATGCGAGGAAGTTTTAAACCATTTAAATTAGCACTTATTATATCTTGACATGAATTACTAAGTTTTCTTGATTCTTCCTAAAGGAAGTAATTTTTAATGCTTCCAATTTGGAAAACAGCTCATGCTCTTTCATACTTATTAAACTCTGTGTCAGAATAAGTTACCAAGAATGTTATCGTTTTAAACAGTTCACTTCATCACTCAGTGCACCAACATCATTTTTGTACACTTCAATAACAGAAAAAGAATTTTCTTGATTTTGTAAACCATTTACTTGTGAAATTAAAGGAGTCAACTTACCCTTAATGATTTGCTTTTGCTTTGAAATAAACTCCATATTCCTGCTGCTATTCTCACAATCCAGACAAAATAAATCTGTTTGCCTTGCACGAAATGTCCTTCTATATCAGAACGTTAAAAATGTCTTGACACATCATCCAAGTATTGCTCCGGCTCGACGGACCATGTTACTCCGGCTCCTAAGGATCATGTTACTGGATGGAAAGTAGACATAAATGTTCGTTATTGCGTTTATTGGCCGTGAGAAGAACGAGTTCGTACAATAGATATACAGGTAGTTCAGCGTTCGCAGGCGCCCTCTTGCAGAGAACAAAATCAAAATTTACATAAGACGCGAACAACTACTATAACTAGTTAAATTTTACGATGCTGAAAAGGATACTCTCTTTAACATTTTATTATTGATTAATAATAATTATATGGCAATTACTTTATTGTTATGTCAGCACTTATAGTTTAGCATTATTGATAGAATGATATTATGAAGTGTAACTGTAGTAACGGTTTTAATTACATTTTCAAACTGCACTGAAGTAAATAAAAATTTGTTTCCCTGAAGTATTAATTTCATGAGATTTGATATACTGCTAAATTTTTAGAGTTGATTATTTTACTGAGTTTTCAGTATCGGACACACATATATTTAATTAATTTATATACATGTATATGTATTAATATTTATTTAGGCATATGCATATGTATATTAACAAATGTTATTTATTAGTCATTATTATAATATTCTGTGTATCTTAAACATTAAATCTTTGTATAGCTCAATATGTGCTACATTTATTAACTTTAACAACACTAACATAAATTTAAGGATGTATTTTAAAATTCTATGCTATTAATTTATCTACCTTTCTTCTTCATTGCCAATTTTATCATTGCTGTGATATTAAAGAAAATAAATAATTCAATCTTTGATATGTAAAAATAGAAAAAGTTTCTTTTATATATTTTTAACTCAGCTGTTATGTTGGACTAAAATACTGCTGCTTATTTAAAGATATTTTTTGAATTTATAGATATTATTTAATGTAATGAAAAGTTTTTAATTTTAAGAAAGCCAATCATAATAAATGTAATGATGCATGCATGCCTGCTAAGGACCAGCCTCCAAAAGCGATAGAGACTTTAAAACAATTCTTGCATTTTCATTTGGACATGAAGGTGAGAATTTATATGTAAAATTTAAAAAATTTATAAAAACATAAGAAATTGAGCTGTATTTTCATAATTAAAAATTGTATTATAATTTAAAGTTGAACTTTTTCAAATTTAATCTATGTAATACTGAAAAAAATAAATCCTGTTATTTATTTATCTGTGTATAACGATTAAGATAATTTAATCTACGAGTAATGCTGAAAAGATTATGGCTATAAATTATAGTTCAGTTAAGCTTAAAATTTATAAGTTAAGATCTATACCTATCTGAAATTTAAAATGAAACAAACTTAACTTTAATTGTTGGTTTAACATTGCTGTTTGATACCACCTACATTTTCTGTGGAATTCATTGAGTTTATTTGTAAAATCAGTGTTAACCTAAGGGTAAGTGTTGTCTAATTTTCATATTTAAAACTGTTCTTAATAATTCTTTGAGTGTATATATGGTATATCAGTCCATTTATATAAAGAAAAAGCCCATCTATATAAAGAAAGTCTGTGTGTTTGTTCACTAATAACTCAGTCACTACTATAGCTATCATCACCAAACTTTCTACAATTTTTTTCTGGGTACTGAAAGGTCAATTAAAAAAATCCACATAAAAAAATCGATCCACTTTCAATCCACAAATCAGAGATATTAATTAAAAAATTTTTAAAACCCTAATTTTCCCCTCAGTTTTCTAAGTGGCAACAGTGCTGATATCAGCAACAATGGCAACCATGATATGTCAGCAACAATGGCTGCCTGCCATTGTTGCTGATATAATGAGAGAGAATTAATTTATTTTTCCATTGAAATTTTTATGTGGGTTCCATATCACTCAAAATTATTCATTTGTTCAAAATAATGCTGTATTTGTTTTTATTTTTGCTGACCCAAATGGCTATTCCATGTGGCATATGGTTATATAGACCATATGATTGCATGATTATGTAGTCAGTTGTGATACATGTATTGAATATTACTTTCTTTGTATTGAATATTATTTCTTTGGCATATTTTATGCATTACAATGACACATCATATTCCTTATGACATGTAATATACTGTTATACGAATTTTATATATAGTTAATAAGTAAAATAATATATTACTCTCAATCTAACTTAACTAGCATCAGGTACTTCTGCTAGTATACATATAAAAAGGCCCTCTCAAGTTAGCACAAGCAGATAATATAATACATCTACAAAATTTTACGAATGCATTTTTTTCAGTCACTCCCAGGGGATTTGCGAAAAAGAGCTTACAACAATGTCTAACATGCCTCAATATTTATTTCTTTATATTCTTAGAGAAAGGAGTTTATTTTTATTTATGGAACTACTCTTATATGCACCCTCAGGTCGCCAAATTTCTTGCCGAACATTTTTGTCGAGAAACTCCATGGTGCCATATTACTATCTAAATTTTTTTGTCTACGTTTCGAACTTTAAGCCTAAAATGTCTCCAAAAACGTGGTTTTCGCACATGTAAAAACCACATTTTGAACACACAATTTAAGCTAAAAATCCGAAACAAAGACAAAAAATTTAGATAGCAAAAACGCAAAGTTTCTAATCAAAAATATTTTACAAGAACCCATGTACACAGTGATATGTTTTAACTTAAAAATCTATGAATTGCACAATCTAGGCAGCGAAAGAATCTACAAACTATGCACACCTCGCTTTAATAAATTAACATTACAACAATAAATTTCAAAGAATACCATGTACACAGCATCCTGTTCAAACTTAAAAAAAACATCTACGAATTGCACGATCTAGGCATTGCTCACATATCAACAAAATAAACTAAAATAACTAAAATAAATTACAAACAATTCAAATAACAACAAAAATCCATAGTAAAAAAAACTATGAGCATAACATTCTACAAAATAAAAATAATAAAATAAACTGCACTTATACATACGTGAATAAAATTTTGCCAGTCACACATTGTCTGCCAACAAAAGTGCCATGATTTTGCTATATCATATGTCTTTCTGTGATTCAAAATTTCGAAAGTAAGGATAAAAATTTCCTCCAAAGTTAACTTACTACACGAAAACAACGATCCAAATCTTAAACTCCGCTGACAGCCACATACTTTACCAGCAACCATGTGACTGCAAACCCACACAAGACTATCAGAAACACCATTCTTCGTCCGAGTTCTCATATCAGCTTTGCATTTCAGACACGCCAAACTCCATTTTAAAAGTCCTGACTCCCACAGAAATTCCAAAAATGCACTTATTTTTAAAACCCTAATTTTATGTCTCGTGAACAAAAGACTCATTAACAACTCCAACATCGTACCTTTTAATACTAAATTTACTTTGCACACAGTCTAAAATATGCGACTGAAATCTTGCTCCACGTCTCTTATTGCAACATCCGAAACACACACGACTTGAACCAACGAGCAATTAAACCACTGCAACAAAAGAGTTAAGTTTCAATGTCAAAAGGGTTGCCATACAAAGAGCATTGTCCACCAAACCATCCCACAGTACGGAATCGCGCCCAAAACCAGCGCAAAACACATATTGGCACATTTGGTGATCTTAGGGCGCATATAAGAGTAGAGCCTTATTTATTTTATCTAGTGATTTATATCTTATGTATTTGGGGTATAAGAAATGAAAAGCAAACAAGGATTTGATTTAAAAAGTAGGCAGTTTAAAATTTTTTTAAAATAAATCATTACTTTTGAGGAAAATTACTGTTTAAAGCAAATGGCCGTCTGGATTTAAAAAAAAAAAAAAAGAAAATTTAGCCTAGCTAAAGAAATTACACATAAGCATTCAGTAGAGAATGGTAATTTTTTAATTGGAAGAGAATAATTCACAGAGAATTTTACTTGAATGGGAAGTAATAAATTTTTTATTCTACAAAAAACCGATTTTGATCAATTCATCAATTAAATCAGAAAAATGTGATAAGGTAATCTATTTTCGCTTTTCCTTTACACAACAAAATTATCGCGTGGCTTTTCAGTATAAAGAGCTTTCATTAATATCTCTTTACTCAGAGAGAAAGGTCATAGAAAGTACCAAATATATATATCATGCTTTTACTAACTGTTTATTTTATAGAATTAACTGCAGATATTAAACTGTTTATATTGATAGAGATATATATACAGGAAAAATATGATTAAGTCTTCTCTTTTGATCTGGTTTCAGCACATTCTTTTGTCTAATTTCTGTCCTTCCCTCCCATCTTCCAGATTCCCAGATCCCACTTTAAAACTTATGTAATTCACATTTTCTCTGGATTTTATCAAGTTCTTTAGTAATTAACTTAATCACGATTTTTTTCTAGCTATTGCTTAATTTATGAAAATCAGTATCTACTAGATTGGATTAAATATGCTAGTTTGTATAGAAGTACTACATATCAGTCATTTACAATGATCAAAAAGTATTTTGAAACTGAACTTTCAGTTCTGAAAAAGTTAGGACACATTCATGTGTCATGGATAAATAAAGTCATATTTTGTTATTCATTTATTATTTTTCTTTTACTTATGTGAAATCAGTTCATTTAAGAATGACATCATTATTGTGTCATTTAGAAAAATTTATCTCTCATTTAAAACAAATGGATATTTAATTTTTATTCTTTTTCTTGCAGTCAGTCGAACCTGACCCTGGCGATACTATGTCTGATGGCTTGCCTATTAAGGATCCTGAAGACATTATGTTAGATTTGGTATCTTTGGATTCAAATTCTTTTAGTGATGAAGTACAAAATATATCTGACATTCATTTACGTTCAGTCAAGCAAGATATGACATTGCTAAAAGTTCATTTTATGTCATTAAAAACATCATCACATTTTCTTCATAGGTAAATTAGTCCATCTTTTATTTTATGTAATTTCTGAATGTGCAAAGTTATGATGTTTTTCCTTTCAGAGAATCATGTATCCTGTAGAAGATGTGTTATAGTAACCTAGACATAAATATGTATGTATTTTCTAGATTCTGCTATATACTAGCAGGTGAAGAATCATCTGTCAGGGATCTTCTCAATAAAGTTGATGAATCTATTAAAGAATTTCCTTTTGTGTTTGAAGATTTGGAATGTTCATTGACTTTGGTAGAGAATGTGAGTTGTTTTTTGTTTCTTTAACAGTGAGATTTCTCTCAGAAATGGTATCGGTAAAAATATATTTACGAGTACCCCTTGGTGATTTGCGATTTTTGGCAGTAGATGGATACTGGGTTTGTGCAGCTCTTCAACTTGTTATTTTGGCTTTGTGTACTGTGATTTTTGGCACAAAAATTGCTGCTGCACAAAGCCAAAATAACAAGACAAAGAATTTCACAAACTTTGTATCCGTGTACACAACGACCTATTTTCACTTAAAAAAACATCAGAGAATTGCACACTCCCTTGACTTTATCCTCGTTGAAGAAATTATCTGTATAAAATATCAGCAGTTATTAAGTACTTTAAAATTAACAAACATTTGAACTTTAAATTGCTATTAATTTTTCAGACATGTTCTGTTCATTTTAAGAGAACATGGTACAGATTTCATTTTCTTTAAGGAGCATAGAGCATTTCTGTAAAACTAATGTAATCTGAGATTGAAGTTTATATTATTTTAAAGCTGAATGCTTCTTTCACATCTGTTATTAAATAAGTTTCATTTTATTTGTAATAAATTTCATGTTAATAATTTCTGTATGCAGTAGGTAATTTTAAAAACTATTGTTTTTTCCCTCCCATTATTAAGATATAACAATAAATATTTTTTATATGATAATATTAATAAATATTTTATAACAATAAATATTTTAATATGTCATTTCAAGTAATAATATAAGTCAGATGCTAGTCTCTTAAATTCTTAGTGTGACTTTAATCTTCTCTGTGGAGCATCAAAGAAATTTTGCATGATACTATTTACAACTTCATTATTCGCTAAATGTTATGTTAATTATGAATGTTTAATTTAAAAAAAGATTTGCACATTAATTTTAATTTCTTTTATTAAGGAACTAAATGAGAGCCGTAAGAAAGATGAATTCAACAAGTTGATTACAAATAAAGACTATTTATTGTCTAAAATCTTGGAATCTTATGCAAAGTTGGTGACATGCCTGGAGACCTCTCTTGGTAAACAGAATACTGCAGATCTTTCTAAATTAGAAACAGAGCTAGAATATTTAAAGAAAACATTACAGGTAAAACCTACATTGCTTGTAGTCTTCTGAATTTTTTTTTTTTTTTTTTTTTTTTTTTTCTTTTTGTAGCAAGCTGAAACTATACACTATATTTAACCCTATGAGTGCCATGACTGGTTTTGTCTGGTTATGAGATTTTTTGTCACTATGAATATAAGTTTATAAAAATTGAGACTAAAATAAGTAAATATACAAATTTAGCCAATAAAGGCCGGTTAAAGGCTTCATGGCAGATCAAAAAACCTGTGCTGCTTAGAGGGTTAAGGAAGACAAAATATTTTTTTTTATAGTGCTTCACTGTTATTGAAAAAATAAATATAAATATGATTACACAAATAAAAATAATTCCAAAGGCTTTCAGATTTTATATTATGCGCAAAGGGCATTTTTTCAAATTCACACACACATACACATTTCGAGAGCATTTTCATTAATCCCTTTTTGGGCTAAAATATTTAAAAACATCATATCTTTAGAATTTCCAATAGACAGAAATGAAAAAATGCCTATGAAATTCTTGACATGCTTTTTTCATATGTATTTTTAACCCTTTCTGGACGGCACCCTAAACTTGTGTTCTGTCGCTATGAGATGGAGTGCTGAACTTTCGAGATGTCTCCACAGGATGGCGGGTGCTCTCTCACTAAGCTTAATTTTGCCAAAAAATTGAGCAAAAATACATTTTTCAAGTATTACATTTTGATGAATTATAGGATTAAATACATGTAATTTTTGCAGCTGTAATCGTATATATAAGCAATGAAAGAGGAATTTTAAAACAAACTTTCAGTGTTTGTTAAACTAGAATTAAAATATTTAAAATAAAGCAACAAACCTACACAGTCACATCCACACATACATGTACACATTTATAATGAAACTTAAAAATTATTTTTCTGTGTGATATATTCTGAAGCATAAGTCAACACAGAATCCTACCTTACAATCCTTGCACTCAAAGTAAGATTTTTTTCTCAAAGCTCACTTCCTCTGCATAGCTTGAGTGCAAACAATTTAGCCTCTTTCATTTTCTCTTTCTTCCTTTCTGAAAGATGAAATAGCACCAGTGCAGCTAATGCTGATATTCTCATTCTCTTTATGACATGACCGTCTCTGTAATTTGTTCGATTACTTGTAATCAAAACTGAAGTAATGGTCTTTTCATACCAGATTTACATCATATAAAACAGCATTATACATTGTAATATAGAGGAGCTTCAAAATTAATTTCTTATACCATTTGAAAGATTTTCTGCAAGATGGACAGTGAATAGTGATTGCATCTCTAATATTCACTCCTTCCATATTTCTTGTTGTACAGCAGTATACAGTTTGGTTTCTCAATACTTTCTCCTGTTTTGTAATTTTGTTTATTGCTAAAGCCACTGACATCTTTGCTACTCAGATCTTCTTGTAATAAAGCTGTATCCAAACTTAATCAGCTTTGGATGAATATTGCTTTCATTTTGATATCTTAAAATTGGGAATAAATAAATAAATACATAAAATAGAAATGAAAAATCTGAAAGGTTTCAGATTTTAAATTACGCCCAAAGGGGTGTTTTTTAAATATTTTGTGTATTACATTTTTTTTATAAAATATCATGTTCTACGTTCTTCGTACTCAAACCATAAAATGCAGTTCAACAGCAATATTGCAAAATAATTTTAAAATGAGCATATCTTTAGAATTTCTGATACATAGTCTCGTGCACTGGAGATAAAAATATTTTTTCTGTGCAACGTTGTCATTCCTCGCTTTGAAATCCATGAGTTTGTTAATAAAAAATTTGTTAAGGTTTTACAAAATATGAAATCGATAATAAAACAAATTCCAAATTTCAAATTTGGGCTTTCAGATGCCCATATTCGCAGGAGAATTACATTATTCAAAATTTGATGTATCTAGGTATTGTTGTTTTATCACAATGCGAGAAACATACCTACATTTATGCAGATTCTTCATTATTTATTTTCTTTAAATATAATACAGGGCAATAATATTTGGTGGCAACAATTTGAAAAGTGAAACAATGCTTGTAGTGGATCAATGCAAAATGCCAAAACAAAATTAATAGTCTTTCTGGGCAAATTGCCTTTTTGGAATTTAAAAATAAATAAATAAATAAATAAAAGACTGAAAATTTTACCTTCAAAAGAAAAAATACTCTGCTCTACATATGAAAAGAAGAAACTAAATAAAAACTGCATTAATGTGAGATACTCCTTCTTCAGAAAGCCACTCAAAAGAAACATAAATAAAAACTCACATGTATACTCAGCACATGTGTTAACAGTAACGAATCCCATTATCTAGCTTTCGGAATCAAATGAAACAATCCAAGGTCAAGGCTCAGGCAGCACATTTGTATACTTTTGCACATTCCCAGCAATTGGTACCATAGACATAGGTTGCCATCTGTTAGAATTAAAAATATTTACATTTCATTCCATGTGATTGTCACGTATACATTACAGCCATCTAGCTAGGCACTAATCATCTGAGACATGGATGTCACACCTGCCATTTAGATGAACCAAATACTACTATGGCATGTATGACACACCCATCGCTAAAGGGTTAAATAAACTTTCTAGTGTATTTTATTCGAAAGATTATAATTTGTAAAATGATATTAAAAATATTTTCTACATTTTTTGAAGACATCATGTTTTTAAACTTAAGTTTTAAATTAGTCTAACATTTTAAGTTAATAAGATTTAATACTTATGAATAATATACTTAAACACAGCTCATAGTATATCTTTTAAAATAATATCATAGTTATTAATTTTCCCTTTCATTGCAATGTTGATTGGCATTTTTTAAATTTTGCATTTTAAATAAAAACACTTAATATTTCATATTTGCTTTTTTATTGTAATATTGAACATTTAAAAATAATTCAGAAATTCTCAGTTCATATTCTTATAAGAGTTGTACATTTCTTACATAAATTTTAATATGAATTAAAATTAATGGTCTTTATTTTCTATTTTGTTTGCTTATTGTTATTATTCATAGTTACTTATGTTTATTTTGTAGCATGCTGAAAGAAAAAATGTTTCTCAAGAAGCTATTATAAAAGATCTGGAGAGAAGGATATCAGTTTTTCAGGCAGGTTCCATTCATATTGGTGTAATATTGGTTAACTGTTGTGCATAATAATTACAGTGTATTTTTGCCTTATAGCCATTGTTAAATATACCTAGAATAATAATTATGAGTTGGTATGAAAATTTTGTGGACTCGAATTTGCACTTATAATTTCATAAGAATTTTACAGCTGTCAGAGTTGCCAACTTTCCCAATTTAGGTAGGAGATTCCTGATTTCTGGCCATACTCCTGCCAGCCCGATTTACAGTATACTTCTCCTGACTGTTATTCTTAAAATTTCTCACAATTTTTATACAGCTTGGCTTAATACATTGTTATTCTGGGTGTGTGAGAGCATATGTGTCCAAAAACGTTGTGTTTCAGTTGTCCAGTAAGCATTACCTTTCAAAAATTTCACACGGATTACTTTTCTTCTATTATTTCATCAAGGAAATGTAATATGTTTGTTGTGTGTACTGTTTGTCTTTGTGATTTCGCATGGTAAAAGGGCTGATGTTCTTAAACATGCACTTGCACAGTGACACAAGGACCACATGAGTTATATTGAAAAAAGCAAGAAATTAAATTTTTCTGTGGAAACAAAGAACCAAAAAGTAATTGATGTAGAATGCTTGTTTTTTCCAACAGCAAAATTGCTAAGAAATACTCAAGTGCAAGGACAAAAATGGCTGAAAGTTTTAAAGAAATAGGTGTGAAAAATAAATTTTCAATTACTGATTGCATTAAAACAGCTCCATTCTTCCTCTCTACAGAAGTTTGTAATTTTCTAATTAGAGGGTTATCCCTTAAAATTGTATAATTTTTAGACTAATAGCTTTTTAACCTATTTATTTTATTGTACATTTGCCTAACTAGGCTTTCGTGTTTAATTTTTTTGTTGTTTAATAACATGTTTTGCATTTACAATTTAAATTACAGCTCGTCAATAACCTTTTAGCTTTTTTATTTTTATTGTACCTTTGCATAACTGAGCTTACTTGTGTAGGTTTTTCTTGTTTAATAGTCAGTTTTACATTTTCAATTTAAATTATGGCACGTCGGGAAAAGAGCGATATCATTGAGACTTTATTAATTTAGAAGTCAAACAACAAAAATCAGCGTTATATTTTCAAATTTTCACAGGACTAGTTTCGATGGTTTTACCCAGGGATAAATAGAAGGGCTAGCTCATTTCTTTGTTCGACTCCTCGCCGACGCGAGCCTAATGGGGGGACGTAACAGGCAATAATCTGACGTCACTGTGATGCCACCTGTCCTGATTTCCCGCGTTTAAAACAGTAGTTTCATAGCTGCGAGACGATTTTCTAGAGGTTGCATATCCCAAATTAATTTTAATAATATATATATCTGTTTTCTAATAATGTATATATTTAAAATAATTTATATATATGGATTTTAATCAGTTTTTATTTTAAATTCTTTATAGTAAAGTATCGTTTACGTAATATGGCTTTTTGCGCTGCAGTAACGTGCCGTAGCACTTAGAGAAGTATGAAAGGATGAGATATTTTATTTCATGGGACAAAAGGATCCAAATGAGAGTTTGCTTTTGACGAAAGAATGGATACACAAATGTCAAAGAGAAGATTCTATTAATGTGAAGAGCGGAAAAATCTGCAGCGAACATTTTCTATGCAGTGTTTATGAAGATGATATGAAAAATCGCTTGTTTGGATAGCCACAAAAAGAAACTGTTGAAATAGAATGCTGTGCCGAAAGTAAATTATGATGACAATAATAAATCGAAATTGATGATGACAATAATAAATCAAATTTGAATGATTTTGAAATAAAACTCACAAATGAAAATGTAGATCTTCCTGAATGTTTAAGGATAAACAAGAATGCATTGATAATTTGAAGAACAAAATAATATCCTTAGAAAATTGTATTAAATTGTATTAAAGTATTGAAAAATAGAGAAAAGAAAAATTTTAGAATGTTTGTTCAGCGACAAAGATGGTGGACGACATCTAGACAGAAATTGGTATCAGAAATTAAAATCTCAAATAACGAACTTTTGGGGGGGGGAGCACAAATCGGAGAATTTGGAAAAATGTCTGAAGCCTATTTTTATAAAGACGCAGATTAATGCATTACTGAAAAAGAAGAAAAAAATCAGGTGGACTAGTGAAAATATTTCACGTTGCATTGTCATAAGAGCTCTGTCATCTTAAAGCCATGATTTTCGGAAAGAAAAAAAATTAAGAAAAAAATTGGAATATCTTTACCTAGTATTATCAAATTAAAGAAATGGTGTTTATTTTATTTTTTAGTGTTTTCTAAATTTTAGTGTAGTCCAAGAATTCAAAGTAATGTTCTTACTCTAAAGAAGGAAAAAGGCGAATATTTGTATTCTGTAGAAAAAATATGCGTTCTCAGTTTCGACGAAATGCATATAGATTGAAAACTCTGCTATGACTCTAAACTGGACTAAGTTGGTTCTTTTCAAAATGTGCAGTTTGTTTTAATCAGAGGTCTCATTTCGCGCTCTGCCTAAAATTAATGAGAAACCGCGTTTTAGATAGAGGATTTGTTTCAGAAGATGTAACTGTTTTAAATTTTGATATAATTAAAGAGGTTTTAAATAGAGATTGAGAAGAAATCAAATTGTATCACAAACTAAAAACAAATTATTTAATGGTGAAGGGAAATGAGAGACAAAAAGTCGCTCCAGAGAAAACATTATTTTCAAAAAGTACCGCAAAAGGTATACTCTACCACACAGGAAATCAGAAAGCATCTGACTTCTATGAGTAAATCGATAATATCTTCGGTATCATGAATAGTACCAAAATAGTACCAACAAGAATAACAAGTATTTAACAAACTAATTTTGTTAAGTACTTGTTAAAGTTATTCTTGTTGTATCCTTTGTAACTAATTATTGATTAGATTTTGTACTAGATTAGCATTCTAGCTAAAATATAATAGTATAAAACATCAAAGTAATTGGCATAAAAAACCTGCTTCCTTTACTCACACTTTTGAAAAATTAAATAACTGTTTTAGGTACTCTGAATAATGCTATTTTGTCAAAATTAAGGTAACAATCTTATATACATTTATTTAATTGTAATATAGGTATAAGTATAAATTACAAAATTATTTAAAAAATATCTATTATATTGAATCGGAAGAGAATTATAACAATGTAAAATTTACAATTAGGCAAAAAATCAAACGTAGGTTATCAGAAATGTTGCCATATATGTCATATATGTTTAAACCTATGTCGATGTAAAGTTGTTTTTTGAGTAAATTTAAATAGCTGCTATTATAGTTATCTTAGAAGCAGTATAAAAATTCTCTCAGTTAGCATGCAAATAAAGAAATGATTAGAAATAAATGTGCATTAAATAAAAAAAACCTGCAAATAAAAATTTTAAAAAATTCACGGAACTTTATGTTAAAAGAGTAGCACATTTTATCTATTATTTTAAAATTGAGTAAGCATTATTAAATTTTTTAATGGTTCAGTCTAAAATGCATAAAGCAGTAACATTGCCTCTTCCAAATTATAGCTATCTTTCACACACAGCTCATTTTAAACGCTGGTTCGAAAACGTTAATTTCCAAGCTGTGAATTATATTGGCGCGCTCAGTGTCATCATGGCTACGTCATCACTTCTCACTTTCTGCTTCAGGGGGAAAAGCTGTATGAGCTAGCCCTTCTCTTCTAAGTCCTGGGTTTTACCGAACCATCATCCTCAGCTGCAAAAGCACAAATGAACGAGAAAAGATATAATGATTAGATAAGATAAGAAAGCCTGTACAGGAGATAAGCCACTGGCACCATCTGTTGAGGAAACCAGAATTAAAACATAATTTCTTTAAAGGCTGAAGCCAAAGATGGATTGGAATTAGGGTCATTAACTAGAACAGAAAAATAAGTTTATAATTAGAAAACTTGGATAAAGTTACAAAAATTAGCAAGATTTGACACCTAGTGCAGTTTAATTGGAAAATTGAAAGGTGTTGATGGAATTTTAAAGTACAGTGAACTGGGTAGAATAATATTGGCCATCCTGGACAACAAGGATTCAATTTAGATGTAATATTATTAGACCCATTAGAAAATTGAAACTTCAGGTTGAAGTTGTAGATCTAATGGAGAAATTCTCTAAAAATTCTACAGGATTTAGAAATTCTGATGTACACTTAGCCTGTGAAGCTAAGTACTCAGTTTTATCAACCAAATATAATATACATAACTGGCTTACTTTTGATTGGTGCTTTCTCTGGTGACATAAATCCAACTGAACTAAATGATTTTGCTGCCTGTATTAACTGGCTACGTTCCTTGCATAATCACTGAATTCCCCCTCCTCCCCCCAAAAAAATTCCAATGTGGAAAACTTTATTTTTCAGGATTCTGTGACTGCCATCTTATTATTAGGCAAGCATTTTTTTACTTTTCCATTTATTTCATATACAAATTCCCTTTTTATTTATTCCTGATCTTCTCCCTTCTTTCCTTAGGGATGTAATTTCAGGATATTTTTAATGCCAAGTCTTTTTTAAAGGACTGTTTCAAAGTTATTGGGGTGTTCTGCACATTTGAAATCAGTTCAGGGTCAATTGCAGGCCACCAAGTTTGTTGCAAGTGCTTATGCTATATTCCATGAATGTTAAGGAGGATTTTGGATTATATCTATGCTTTCCTTGAGCTGTTTTGAATCATGTTTGCTGTAAGAGCATCTCAAGCTGAAATACAGCTTCAAGTTTTTCTGTTCACTTGGTTTATTTATTTAAAGAGATTTCTGGGAACTCAGAGCATTTAGCAGTATACAAATTTCTTGATTTCAGCATTAAGGAAAGTTAAAAAAAATATCATATTTTCATTTCTAGTTCTTTTGATTTACCTGAATTTCAAGTTTTAAATTTACTTTTTTTAAAAATTGCAATCTAATTAAAACATGGATGGATAAAATCTCGGTTAAAGTTTTTTAATATGTATGATTTCATTTTTTTCAGAGTAAAAATAGTGCCTTAGAAAGTTACAAAGCAACTCTTGAAGAAGCTAGATCTGAACTCCAGAAACAGTTGTCTCATAAGGAAACTCAAATTAAGTATCTCACAACTGAACTTGCTGTAAGTTTAATGTAATTCTCTTCTTATTTTTGATTATATTTTTGTATTTTGTTTATGCATAATCCATTCTATGAGTAGCAGTATTTGCTAAAATAAATTATTAATTTTTAGCAAACATCTAAAAAGAAAGACAATGCTGATAATGAAAGGTTAATTGAAATAATAGAAGAAATTCAAGTTAAAGCTCAAGATGAAAAAACAGCTCTGAAAAAAGCTGTGAAGTATATATATTTTATATTTAATAAATTTTTGCAGGTACATAGTTTAAGTAAATGGCTTTGAAAGTGTTTATTAAAATATATTTAACTATATGCTTAATATATAAAAAAATAAATTATTTGTAAAAACAAAACTCTAGGTACACTACACAAAAGAGGGGGCAGTTATATATCTTCTGTTCTACTGGTTCCGATTGACGAAATTCAAATTGTGCTTTTCATGTCTCAAAAGTGTGACTTAGGATATATATTAGATTTATACATAGTATTGTTCTAACATAGGTATTTTGACAAAAAATCGGACTTTTTCAGAAACAGCATACCAATTTTTTTTTTCTGTATTTCGATTCTACGACTCAAATTGTGCCTAAATATTAAATTTTGTAAAATTTGGTGTGAAATTTAATGGAGAAATTCAAAAATTTATCTTGCCAAATTTTTTTCAGTTTGTGCCAACAATAATTCACTTGCCAAATATCTTAATATATGGCAACCTATTTTCCTTTCTCTTCCATTGTGCAGTAGCGGAAAGAAAGTCACATGGTTCCTACCTTTTTAAATGTGCAAGAGCAGGAAAAAAGTGATATAGTTCGATACTTTTCCGTTTTGCCGGCGCAAATCTCGCCCAAGCAGACTTTATTGCCACAGCACCCCCCCCCCCCCCCCCCCCCCCCCCCCCCCCCCCCCCCCCCCCACCCCCCCCCCCCCCCCCCCAGCCCCCCCCCCCCCCCCCCCCCCCCCCCCCCCCCCCCCCCCCCCAACAGCACACAGTATACACATAAAAAATGTTAACAACTGTTAGTTCTAAGAATTTTTTATTTTGAAGGCATAAACATTATAATATCGTTTAAAATTTTGTAAAAAGACATTAATTTAAGAATTTACGATGCTTTCATGAACATCCTGATTCAGCAGTTCATAACATGTGACCCCAAGTGATCTTATCTCATGTAAACTATGCTACAAAAATTTAATTCTTTTAATAATTATCTACATTAATTTCAAGTTAAATCTTAATGTGGAATAGAAATTTAAATGCAAGAATAATTTAATTCGTACGAAGAGCTTGTTCAGGAATTATGTAAAACCACAGTGCTGTACTTAGCTAGTGTATTCTCATTAGGATTGATGAATTTAACCCTTTACTTTGCCTTTTGTATACTTTTGCCTTCGGGTGAGCTGCGTGATTGCATCCAAATTGACTTAATTACCGCAAATAGCCTTAGAACATAAAATTGAACTATCTGGTAAAAATTCTATGTAATTGTGTACCATTATTGAAAGAAACATTCAGTCTGATAAGAAATGGCTGCGACTTATTTTGAAAAAGAGGCACAAAAATTTACCAGCGAGGATATTCCATTTGGCATCGGTTGTACCATATTTTTTGACTTTATCGCCTGCTCCGGCAAAATGGAAATCTTTCCTACTTTCAGATAATTTTAACAAAGTGCCTAAACCACATTTGACATTATTATTGCTTTTAACAAATATGCCAAATTTCAAAATGCACATATATATAAATTCGCGTATACCTTCGGAAATTTTTAATAAAAAAGTGTAATTTTTTGCAGTTGTATGCTTAACAATACATCTACTTTATCATGATTGTGAAAGTTTTAAAGATTATAATTCAAAAATTTTTTTGAAAAATTTATAAAAATTATTTAAAAATAAATCATAAAAATTGGACGAATTTTATTTGGAATGAACCTAAATTTTGAAATGTGAAAGGAAGAATCAAATAAGTTTAATAAAAAAAGAGATATAATATCTTATAAAAGGAATAAGTTAATCTATTGTCGCACTTAATTTATTATTGCCATTAAATCACATTGTTTAGTGAAAGCTTTTGTTTGGTGAATATGATCCATGAAAAAGTACATAAGCACCAGGATCCAAAAACACATTGTTTTCCTCAAACTTCCATAAAAATCTTCCTCATTTAAACTAATTTCAGGTAATACTGATTTTTTTTTTTTTTTTTTTTTTTTTTTTTTTTTTTTTTTTAAGTGAAGATGGCTTAGCCATTGAAGATTCCATCAATGTCATCTGAAATATTTCTTTATAAAAATGACATAATTTTTTCCTTGCCTGGTAATGTCTTATTTGTTTGCACATCATTTTTGACAATAATTTATTTTACTCTTAGCACATTTTTCACAAGATAAATTAAAATATTTCTCTTAATTTTTTCAATTAATAATTAGCATAATTAAAAAATTAATGATGACTGTTTCATGTATGAAGACTGTGAGTATTAATGTTACTGTGGTTTATTGCAAGGAAGGCCAATTTGCTTATTGTTGTTTTGTTTTTACATATAAAAATTGGTCATAAGCAACAAGTTCTTAAAATGTTTTCCCGATTGATTGGGAGGATAAATGCAGAAATTAAGTATAAAACAGACTTAAATGATATTAATAATAAATTGTGTTTGTGCTATTATGATGTGTTTATCATCAATTGCATAAGCAGAATTTTGCTTTAATATAATGAGTGTTTCATGTATTGTAATATTTTATTAGTTAACAAATAATTAAAAAAAATATTTTCTTCTTTCTTCTCTTTCTGACTGTATTTTATTATGTTATATGTTGTATTTCAATTATGTATATGATATTGTGTTGTTTTGAAAGAAAAACAATTGTATACTTTAATTCATAAAAATATCAATTAAAGTTTTTCTGGAGGGGGAGAGATTGTAATATTTTATTATTTAAAAAATAATTATATTTATTGTCCTTGATGTTGGATTGGCAACACCATATTTGTGTCATATATCCACTGCTGAGCAATGTCAGAAAATGTTTAAAAAATGTTATTCTGAAAGTTTTACCAGTACTAGATGTATGAAAAATTTATAAAGAAAGAAACTGTAATAGTAAGCTGGAATGTGATGCTGCAACAGGTAGAATTGTATTTAAATTATCTATCTTCGTGAATTGCGAATAAAATTTATGTTTTACTAAGAAGCTCATCTGTTATTTCTTTAAAAACTGCAAAATACGTTACAGTCTTATTATATTGGAGGTTGCACTGAGATACTGGAAATTAGGAGTGTAATTCTCAATTTTGATGGTGCTGCTCTCCTAATCTCAGAAAGCTGCTAAAATTTGGAAAATAAGTTTGTTTCATTAATGAATTAAATCCTCATTCAACTCCTACTGAATTGGAGTACCAGTTGCACCAAGTTTGTTTATTCAACAAGGAATCTCAGAAGACTGAAGTTTTAATGCCAGTTATTGAAGCGGATCATTCAAAGGTCATTTTCTGTGTTTGTATAATTTGTATTACTGCAAAGAACTGTCATAACAGGATACTGCTGATCTGTGAAGAAAAGATTAACTTTTGGTTCTCTTAAAAAAGTGTTTATTGAATTTTAATATTTTGTTTCAGAATTCTAGTTAAATCGTGTAAGTTTTTGTTTAAAATAACTGACACTAAAAATATTCAGCCTAAAATTATAATTGATATTTGTGCTAAAGAAATATTTAAAATTTATTTAAGCTTTATTGTTATTTGTATAAACTTTTTTGTTTATTGGAATAGTTGAATTTTTTATGTTGATAGTTGATATGTGGAAGCCATCCTGACATTTATTTAATAAATAAGAAGTAACGTCAAACTGATGTAGTGTGATTTTATTGTATTGCCAAACTGGCAAAAGTCTTTTCTTAGCTCTCACCATCCAGGCATGTGTTAGATAATAACATCATCCCAACGTATTGCGCTAAATTATATTGCCAAACTGGCAAAAATTATTTTTGCAATTGCCAACCAGACATGGAGATAGATAGTAAAATCATCAAACTGACGTGGGTATAATTCCATTGTGTTGCCAAACTGGCAAAGGTGTTTATACTTTTATCACAATTTAAAGTGGTAAAAGAAAATGTGTTGTTAGTGAATATGAAAATAGATAAAAATGGGAATTAATTAATTATTGTTTCTGAAAAATATAGAGATCAAATAAAGTCATTATGTCATGATTGCACTTCTTGACATTTAAGCGTTGTCAAGACTAAAGATAGATTAACAAGATACTTTTACTGGCCTAACTGGTAAAAGACTGGTATAAAGAAAATAACTGGTATAAAGAACTGGTATAAAGAAATAAAAGAGTATTTTAAAACTTGTGATCCATGTCAAAGAGTGGGAAAATCTAATGATACAGCAAAAACTTTTTCACTTTAGTACCAATTATTGCAGAAGTATTTTCAAAAATTAACTTTGACCATGCGATCCTTTACCGATAACAGCAAATGGCAATAGATATTTAATCACAGCTATTTTTTTAGCTTCACAATATATGGATGCTGTACCTGTTCCTAATATTGGCACAACATCAGTAATTGAAGCCATGCTACGAATAGTTAGTAGAATGGGTTTCCCAAAAGAAATACAAGCTGATCAAGGTGCTTTCTTCATGAGCAATCTAGCCATTGAATTATTTGGAATAAAAGTAACTATAAATTCAATACACCATCCGCAAAGCAATTTGCAGTAGGATTTCACTGAACAGTCAAATGAATTTTAAAAGTCTTTTGTATGGAAGCAGCCCCTGAGTGGGAGAAGCAAGTTCCTGCAGCTCTATTTGCTTTAAGAACAATAATTCACAAGAGTACAGGATTTACACCTGCAGAATTAGTATATGACTGTTATCTTAGAACACTGGTAACATTATTAAATAAACAATGGATGAACCCTGAAGACGAAAGAAATAATGCTGTTTAATATGATTTCCAATTGATAAATCAGTTAAAAAGATGCAAAGAGCTGGCTACAGAGAAAATGCTGGAAATGCAAACCAAAAGAAAAGTGTGGTACGATCGTAAAACTATCAAAAGAGAATTCTTTGAAGGAGATTTAGTATTAGCTGTATCAACGAGTAAACCAAATGGACTAGCAATTGAATGAAAAGGTCGTGGGAAGGTTGAGAAGAAATGATCCGAAACTGATTATGTTATGAATTTCGAAGGAAAAAAAGATCATTATCAATCTACCATGTTAAAATGTTAAAATGTTATCATATAGCAGAATCGGTTAATCTTATGATTACAGAAGATCAATCTGAAAATGATGACATGGAGCAGAATTTCCCAACAATTGACTTTGAACCCACATTGTTTGATTTTGAGGAAATTAAAGGAAACAGTTCCTTGAATGATAAGCTAAATGAACAAAAAATTCAAGAATTGCATGATCTACTTTTGAAATTTTCAAACATCTTCTCTAATGAGTCTGGAAAAACGATTTAATAATGCATGATATTCAAGTGACAGAAAACACATCGATCCACTGTAAACCATACAGAATTTCTCCTAGAGAAACAGATATGTTAAAGACAGAAATTGATAAAATGCTTCAACGTCAAATAATTGATTTAGGAGATTCAGATTACACAAAAAATGCACCATGTTCATTTAGCAAAATGATGGTCGAAAATCATGGGTTGTGAACACTTAGCTGTTCCATATTTAGGTGGTGTGGTAATCTTTTCAAACACATGGGTAGAACATCTAAGTCATCTGAAAGCCGTTTCGACAAAAATATAAAGGACGCTAGTTTAACCATTAAACCTATAAAATGTAAATTTGCTCAAGATAAAGTAAAGTATCTAGGATGTATTGTAGGTCATGGTATAAGAATGCCATGTGAAGTCAAAGTAAAAGCTCTTTATTCATTTTCCTGTCCCATCCACAAAAACTGTTGCAAAAAACCTATACTACACGCACCTGATTTCAATAAGGATTTTCTTTTGCAAACTGATGCTTCAAACTCTGGTATGTGTGTTATTTTATCTCTGAAATATGAATGAGACAATAAACATCCATTATTATACCTCAGTAAGAAGTTTACAGAAACTGAAAAAAGTACTTTGTCACAGAAAAGGAATGCACTGCCATAATATTCACTGTAAAAAAATTGCAATGTTATTTAAACAGGCATACTAAATTCCTCATCATGATAAATAATGCAAGTCTAAATCCGTGACTTATGAGATGGGCACTAGTATTACAACCCTTCAATTACACTGTCATTCATGGAAGTCGTAAAAACCATAAAAATATAGACATATTAAGTCGTACTCCCTGGCCTGATTAACCCTTTGGCCTATAACTATGAGTCTGACTCTTGGTAAAGAATTTGTGCCATAAACAAAAGTCATGAGTCTGACTCGTAATGAGGAATTTGTCCATAAAATGCCGCATATTTTTATTAGAACAAGCAATTGGAGTTATTCTACATTGAATATTTTTCCTTTGATTGTAACGTCGGTATTTTGTTTTTTTCAGTTATTTCTGATGGAACTGGGTGGTTTGTTAATTCTCTATAAAGCTTCATTACATTCATATGTTTCAAATATAATTTCATATAAAAAATTAAAATACTCTTATGCTCATCATGCCAAACTCTTATACCCATCATGCAATTATTTTTGTCAACTGATCAGTTGGTTATGATTACACCCTAGATGTCTTAAAATTACTATTTGTACCTAAACATTGTTTATTATTTCACAATTCCTTTCATTACACTGAAATATATATATGTCATGAAAGTATAGATTTTGCTACGGTTCAGGTACACGGCTGAACAGTTGAATAGCACGGCGCGCGATCGACTTTCTTGTTTACTGTAGCTCACGCAATTGACAGATATTGTGTAGGCCAAAGGGTTAAAGAATTTGTTTCTCTATATAGATAAAAAAAAATTTTTTTTTTTTCTTCTCTTTCTGACTCTGTGTTATTATGGTATATTGTTGTACAATACAAAGTCCGAAATCCAGACTTCGACGATTCCGGATTTGGGATTTTTCCGGATGTTAGATCATCAGTTTAAATCTAGTAAGGTGACATGTAGAAATTATAAAATTAAAAATATGAAATCGTGATTTATGAAATAATGAAGTATTTATGATCTAAATGGTATCAAAATTTACAAAGAAAAACTTCATAAGTATTTGTTTACCTTATTAAAGATTTCATTCAATGTAAGTTTGTTTAAGTTGCTTTGTTTTTTGTGCTAATACTGTAAGGTATTTCTCCCACTTCCCTAGCATGCCTTTGTGGTGTAACGGTAGCACACTGGGCCGGTATTCCAGAGGTCCATGGTTCGATTCCCGGCGAAGGGGGTTGCATATTTTTCATCTTTTCTGCTTCCAATTAACCTAATGACTCTACAAGTGGCACCCGAACTAAAAGGGTTGTGGATGATGATTCTCCGCACCTAGTGTATTTGGCGACTAGGTCCCCTAAAAACCTAGTCGCCCTTTAAAAAAGGGAGTATATAAGGTATTTCTCCCACTTCCCTAGCGTGCCTTCGTGGTGTAACGGAAGCACGCTGGACTGGTATTCCAGAGGTCCGTGGTTCGATTCCTGGCAAAGGCGGTTGCATATTTTTCATCTTTTCTGCTTACAATTTACCTAATGACTCTACAATACTTTCTCTTTAATTCTGTAGATAGACATAATCTTTTATTTAGTTACATTGTTGAAGTCCCGTAACTGCTGTTTCGAGGATTTTGACTAACCTGTCAATCGAAATTTTCTTGTTTTTAAGTAACTTCTCTGTCAATTTGTTCACTATAGGTAGTGATATTTTCTGGATCTAGAACCATACTACAGATTTCGCCATTCATTAATTGATTGATGATTGAGAAGCACTGTCATCCCAATGAAAAACTTCTTTTATATCATCTTCATTTATTACCGCTTCTCCATATTTCTTTACAAAATCCATTAATTGGAAGATTTCACCTTTGTTTTGTGAAATCCGAAAACCTTTAAAATTCATGCCTCTCATCATCAAATTTAGCTCTTCTTCACTATACATATTTGACTTTGCATCCTGAGCTTGGCAACTAACGACAAGTTGTTCCATTAAATTTTATCTTTCTTCTTTTGCGCACTGAGACAGTTAAGCCTGAATTGTATTAGTTTAGTTATTTATTATATTTATGTCTATTTCTCCTACATGCTTAAGGCTTATCAGAGTTCTGAATAAATAAATTCCCACATATACTTAAGCCTTATTAAGGGCCTGCACTAGATATCTTACCTCCTGATGCAGTCTCTGTGGGTCCTAAACTCTGGCAGATTTCCTCACATAATTGCAAAACTATGAGATGTACTATAGAATTTTTATTGAAATTTATTGGTTTCTCTGTCTGTGATGAATGTATTTTTAATTTTTGGTATTAGTTTTTTTAAGGAAGTATTAATTTGAATTGATATAATCCTTTAAGTTTTCATCTGGACATTTCATCAGTGGCTAAGTGAATATGAAATTTAACTTTGGTAACATGCTTCCTAACAAATGACCTAGTTGGCATATTTCATATGTGTAACATAAGGTATTTTCATGTAGAAATACATCCCTCATAAAGCAGATAGCCTTCACATCCTAGGCACCTTAAAATGTGGTGACATGCGAATGAGAGAAACTTTGTGATTCATTTTTCGTTTGAAATGCTAATTTCAGTGGCTAAAAATGATAAGCCTGAGATATGTTTAAAAACCTGACACTTAAACTGTTGGATCAAAAATACTCTTGCTGAACCTTTTAACTGTCATGTTATTTTGATGATTTGGGTGCGTAAATTGTCATTTTTTTTTATTTCAAAAATGAAATGTTTGCCTCGTAATAAAAAATTTAAAAAATACTGTGCACTTTGAACTTTAACCTCTATTCTTTGAAACCTTCAATAAAGTGCTGCCATCTGTTAATTTGAAGCCGAAATAAACATCTCACAATATATATTCGGGTATAACAACATGTTTCACTCAAAAAAAAAAAAAAAAAAAAATCAAGTAAAATTTGGGCGTGACATTTTAAAATACCAGTGCTATGCCCGAGATTATTTCGAGCATGACAGTTAAAAGGTTAATTAGCATGCATCTTCAAAATAAGCAACCAGCCATCCTTTGTCCTTTGGACTTAAAACATTTTGTAATGAACAAATAGCTTTTACAGTTTGCTGATTTTCATGCAGTGTATGATCATGATTTTTGCTCATTGAATCTAAGTATTAAATAGTTAAAAAATTCTAAGTATTATAATATTTAAAAAAGATTAATTTTGAAAAAGGTGAAAAATAATTGATTTTTCAAATTCACAGATGAATTCATTTTTTTATTTAACTCAAATATTAAATATTATGTTACTGTTTTATATTCTATTTCAGTCTTAGCCTTGTTTCAGTTTCAGTATTTACTTTATGTTGCCAATTAATTTTTCCAGACTGTCTGATTCAAGTTTTTCCGATATTTAATTTTTATTAATTTTATTTTTATTATAATTAATTTTATATTATTTGTAGTTAAATATTTAGTGATATTTATCATTTTTGCATCAGTATCATTTAACATTAAAGTAAGAGAAATGTATTGGTTATTTTGATTACTGATTAATATTAATTTAAGGGAAAAAAGTTTTTAATTCTGGAAAAATAAGCTTTTTTTTTTCTTCCTTTCTCTTATGCATTTCAGATTCCAGAAAAGGAGAGCCGATCAATTGGAAGAGACATTGAAAAATTTGAAAACTGATTTAAAAGAAAAAGTATGTATGAGTAATTGCTTTTTTAAATGTCTTGAAGATTTATTTGTTGTTTTTAGTAAGCAGACTTTAAATCCTGCCAAACTACATTTTGAATAATTCTTCTCTTTATTAAATAAGTATGCAAAACTCTATATTGGATTAATTTATAAAGAAATTATAGAATTGCTTCCCTACAATTCAACTTGCTGTTTTGAACAGTTTATTTAAATTGCATGATTTTATGTTCTATGGCAAGACATGGCCAAACTGCGACTTGCTGCCACCTTATGTGCGGCTTGCGAACTACTTGTGATACTTTGCCATCTGAAATATGACTTGTTTTGAGTAAATATAGTTTCATTTTTACTACAAATGGAATTTGAAATAGTAATCATGCAGTGTCACCTTTTTTTTATTAATCGCTAATTTAATTTCTGATATTATGTACGTAAAAATTTGATAGATTTCAAACTGTCTATTGCTGGTTTATCGTGAGAGCAACAAATAGGCAAAATTACAAATAATTCCATTTTTGGTAATTACTATTCTGGTTATGTTACTTTTTGAACAGATAATGGTAATCAAAATAAATACACTAATACAATGTTAGTCTAAAATGGAATGCTAATATTTTTATTTAATTACTCTTCCTAATATTTTTCTGTCAAGTTAATTTTACTTCAGGCAGTATCTGCTTACATTCCTGTGTGATCCATTTGTTCACAACAGTTGTGATCTATCTGGAAGATTACCAAGGAATTATTACGGAAGACAGAGTTTCATGTGGGAAGAGTATTCATTAAGCATATTATTGTGAATGGTCATGAAATCTGTGAAGCAATTGCATAAAGATGCCTGACTTGCTTATGGATAGGAACTTAGTTTTGAAGGAGCTCCACAAAAAATTGAGACAAGTCTCCTAATCAAATAAGAAGCTGAAGGTTCACTCCATCAGAAATAAAATCCTTGTAAAATTCTTCCACAGAATAAAAGAGCTCTATATGGATTGCAAGGTATTGCAAGGTGAAACAGGTTTCTTCAACAGTTACTCATGCCATTCAAGGACTGAATAAAAGTAGTACCCTACAATAAATAGCAATCCACATAGAGCTCTTTTAATCTGTGGAAGAATTTTACAAGGATTTTATTTTTGATGGAGTGAATCTTCATCCTCTTATTTGATTAGGAGACTTGTTTCAATTTTCTGCGGAGCTCCTTCAAAACTAATTTCCTATCCCTAAGCAAGTCAGGCATTTTTATGCAATTGCTTCACAGATTCGCAATCATTCACAATAATATGCTTAATGAATACTCTTCCCACATGAAACTCTTATCTTTCATAATAATTCCTTAGTAATCCTAAGCAGAGATTATAATTTATTTCACCAATGATTGTGTATGCTGAAATATTTGAAGCTGTGGGGAGAATCACTGGTTTAAAAATGATTTAAATTTTAGCCAAAATGTTTAATTCCCATTTTATCAAATATTGTTATTTCAGATAGAGATCATTCACCTTAATCATCAAATCTTGATATCAATAACATTGCATCAAGCAATGAGGGATCAACAGAACACAAACATCTCTCTTGTCCAAAATTTCTATCCAAATCGACATATTGATATTGGTGAAATCTCTTTAGCTTGTGACATTTTCTCATATTTTTCGATTTCTTGTTTGATGCCCTTCTTCCTTGCTACCTCATATTTGGTTAGGGACATTTTGCTGTACTAGGTTAAAATTGCCGATAAATATTATACTAGGTTAGAGGCATTTTGCTGTCCAACATCTAAAATTTTCCACTCCTTAGTACTGCAGCTGCACCGTTGCCCCGGCTCTTATGCCAGCATTACAGTTCTTTTAATCTGTTGATATTTTTTGTGTTCCTAATTTTCGATCATCATGTACGTCTGACTTGTTCTTTATGGAGGCTTTAGCCAAATGAGAAAGCTTTAGTCAATTATCTTAAGCTTATGTGACAAAAGTCACATTATAATCCTCTGTGACTACATGATTGTCACTAGGTAGTAATAAGTTTGTTTTGTTTTTATTTTCATAATTCTTTGTTTGATTTCATGCCTTTATTTGTCATTAGTCGGTTAAGTGATTATTTTAAAGTGTTCAACGATCATCTATTAAGGTTTTTAGAGACCATTGTAAGGCAGATTGAATTACATTAAGTTGTATAATGACTAGGTTGTACAATGATTTACTACTTGTCACTACAATTTTCAGGCAATAATGTGAAATTTTGCTCTCATAAACGTTTACTTTTAAAGCTGATTCTTTTATTTTCTTAAGTGTTCTCTGTTTACAGGCTCCATTTCAAACTCCATTTGAGATTTATTTTCTGTACACAGGTTGGGTAACCCAATGGAAAGTTTAACGTTAGGCTGACAGTAATTTATTTTAAAATTTCTTCTGATTTATTTACTTCCAAATTCAAGACAAGACAGTAAGTCATTTGACCGCTTTTGTGGGTTCAACAGTTAGAATATGGTGGATCCATACACCAATTTGGCAAGAGCTTAGGAACTAAACCATTGTGCAGATGCCTGCCATCTTACAAAAGGCTTCCGCATCGAGCATCTGTGCATGTCATAGAAATATGAAGGGGTATGCGTTCATGTTATATCTGCATTTGCGAAATAAATTCATTATAGCAGTGACAGGTATGTTTTCTTTCTGTATCATTAGTTTTGATTTGGCATGTATTTGAAAAACAGCTCAAAATTAAACAATTAGGTTGAAGAGTTCAGCTGGCAGACAGATGAAATATGTGCTGGATGAACCAGTTATATAGTGTGGCATGAACTGCTACATTTATAATTTATATTTAGGTTACGTATGTCCAGAATTATTGTAATGATTCAAGAAGTGGTTGGAAGAATTTTCAATGATGCACATGAATTTCATTATCTATGTCCACAATTATCAGGATAATTCGAGAGATAATATCAAGAATTTTCAATGATGCGCATGAGCTTTATTATCTATGTCCAAAATTATCAGGATGATTCGAGAATTTTCAATGATGCACAGTGTATCGATTATTAAACTGTTAAATTCTGGCAGATTCCGTTGGATGCCATGCTGAAATACTATATCAGTCAGGACCGTCATGAGAGGTACTGATTATCAAATAAGCTGAAATTTCAATCATATTATAAAAGACTAAATAGAAAAGTGTTCATTTTTAGACTTATTAGAAATTATGTTTAAACAATCTTATTTTTTCCTTCAAACAGAAAGATATAAAGTGTTTAAGTATGGCCTAGAATGTTGGATTTCTATGCTTTGCTTCATGCAATACATTAGATAACTTTGGCTATTGAAACTGTCACAATCTATTGCATTACAGTAGAAGTTCAATTTTGAAACCATGTGTGATAATATGAATGTGTAGGAAATGCCTTGATCCATGGAAATGAAGGTCATATTTCATTGTTGTGAGTAGTTCTTTTATTTCAAGATTTGCAGTATTAAAACATCTGTTTATGACAGGTATTGTTTTCCATATTGTTTGTGAAGTTTGGACAGAATATGTGAGCTTGAGATTCCTTCTGCTGCTACAGACTTAATGATAATCCCTTACTTCATGGATTGAAGAACTTTCTATATACTTATCATTCTTACTAGCACCACACTTGACTAGTAAGATCAAGCTACTAGCATTAAAAATAATCTGGAAGGTCATTATAGCCAGCATCACTTACTCTATTGCATAAAACACCTCACAAAATGTACAACATCCGAGTCATATTTGAATGCTCATAGAGTTTCATAACTAGAGAGACATATTTCTTTTAAATGTTTTAAAAGAAACGGAATGTAAAAGTTTGATTACTGGACAGTTGAAAGTAACATTAATTTAAAAAAAAATATGTATTCAAAAATTAGTTTTTATTTTCATTTTGACGTCTTTGTATGTACGCATATATGTATTTTGCATAACTCAAAAACAAGTTATCTAGGAAAGTTGAAATTTTGTATATGGGACTGCTGTAACATGTAGCTGTGCACCTCCCTTTTTGGTTGCAATCAGCTGCACCAAACCAGCTAATTTTGGATTAACAGAAGCACAGTGGTTTTCCATGGGGAAGGAGTTCAATTGAATCTGAGCTACCTCCTCTTGATAATGTTGAATCAGATTTCGATTGCATTCCTCTCCCTACGTAATTATTGTATTTTTTGTAATTTTTGTATAGCCATATCTTTAATTCTTCTGGTTTGGTAACTATTGGTTGATATTTTACATATTTATAGGAAGTTTTGTTTTTGCTGGTTTTGAATTTAGTCTTATTCATGTGTTTGTGGATTTGGTTCTAAATTTCTTATTCCTTATCTATATTTGATTAATTTTCAGCAGCATATTGCATGGAAATAATATTGGGATAATTTAGTTTTTATATTAAAAAACTTTTGGTACATATATATATATATATACACTCATTCTGTTACCAGGCTTGGTATGCAATAGTTGTGGAATTACTGACAATTTAAAAGTTGTGTGAGTTGTACTACGCCTAACAAAATTACTATTTGTTTGCATTTGAAACTCTTAGTAATCGTGAATTAATTAAGTCAGTTTGTGCACCAACTTAAGTGTATTTTTTCTAAGTGGAACCAAAAATAAATGTTCAATTTTGTGTACCATAAAATGTCTTCCTACCCGATGCTCAGATTGCTTTTTTTTTGCCTAGAAACTGTAATTTTAATTGTAAGAAAAAATTTTATTTGTTTTTTAACTGTATTTTGTGTTTAATGTTTTTTCTATATCATGCAATTTTTAATGAAGGTGTTTTGAGGTTCTATGTGTTTTTTGCCTTGCTGCAAAGTAAGAATTGAATTAATTGAATGAGAAACATATCTCTAATGAAATTTGAGGAAATAAGTTTATATGAAATGCAGCAAAAAATGTGTATAATTTAATGGGTCGTACAAGGAAGTAGGGTGTCCACATCAGTTTTTTTTTTTTTTTTTTTTTTTTTTTTTTTTTTTTTTTTTTTTTTTTAATGAATATGAGCTTAACTGTGGGCTGTCTGAAAAACTTATCTAAAATGGCTTCACTCCAGCTTGTTCATATACATGTTGGGCTTACCATGAGTTTAAAATTGCAACGAGCATAGGCTTGAATCCCAGGGAAGGCATGGCTATTTGTAAGTATAGTGTCTGTGTGGCAAGGGGGCACTAAAAATACACAGCAAGTCAAAAATCTTCTCAAGAGGTAGGGAAAGATAAGTGGGAGGCCCTTAGAATAGCCCTGAGTGTTCCTCAAAATGGGGGTGGAACTAAGAACTAGTGTGGCAGGACTATACCTGTACAGCCAATGGTGAATGTCTGATTGTTTCCCCCTACCTCTACTTGTACGTGTGGGTGTAGAATGCCATACAGCTGGTATAGTGGTTAGTAATGGTGACTTTTGTACCGATGGGCCTGGTTTTTGAATCCCAGGGAAGGCATAGATGTTTGTTAGCGTATCGTGTCTGTGCAGCAGCGGGCATTCAAAATGTATGGCAAGCCAAAAGTCTTCTCAAGAGGTTGGTGGTAGAAGAGAGATAGTAGAGCCTTAGACTTCTCCCTGGTGTGATCTTCCTGAAAATTGTTCTGGAAGCTTAATAGTTAGCAAGGTTCATTAATACCTAGTATATACTTACAGGAAGGCATAATAACTGCCCTTGCAACCTGTACCTGTAGGTACAATTCACATAGGTCTTGCTTCATCCTGTACCTGTGGGTAAAAATTGAAGCAAGGCCAAGGTAAATTGTAACTGAATTTAAAGAGGATGAAAAAGCTAAATGTTGGAAGAATTTTTTACTGCAAAGCCTTCCTTTCATAATATTATCATGAATGTTAATATATATATATATATTTTGTATTTGCATAATAATATTGTATTTGCATAATAACAGGAAAAAATGATGTTTGACATTGCTGCACAGAGAGATCAGTTGAAAGTTCAAATGACAGTAGCCAGTAACAATTCTATCCAGACTAAGAACCAAATTGAAGAAATGAGGAGGTTTGAATCACATATTTTGTTTATTATTTAAATTTTTTTTGTCAAATTCTACCCAACAAAGTTTCATTATATTATTTTTCATATTTCACTGTAAAGATGTTTCTAAAACATGTCAAAATGTTAATCGCAATAAATTCAGTTGATAGAATGGCTAAGAAACTGCTCTGACCTCAGTTATATGGAGAAATTTGGTCTGTCAGGAAATAAAAGCTGATAATAAAAGCAACATGTCAATAAATCTCTCAACTTTTAGTACCATTAAAGTTTGGTTTAATGATGCTGGTGTGAAAGTTATGTACAAAATTGATAAAATGAATGATAAAAGTTTTAGGACAAATTATGAAAGCCAAAGGAAGCCCTATTTCATATTAGTTTATTACTAAATTACTAAATTATTTATAAAACTAAGCTTTTATTTAATGCATCAGATTACTTTGTATATTAACGTGTGTTAAAGCCAATTCCACTTAGAAACTCGTCCTTAAAGACGCCATTAAGGCAACTTTAAGTTTCTTGTAAAACACTATTATTTAAAGTTTTCATAACCCCTTCATTAAGTAATATATTAGTTTTCTCCTTATTTGAATGCTGTTTTTAAATACTTCTAGCTTTAATCATCTGAAAATTTCTTAAAATTCAGAACAATATTTTATTTATATGATGGAAAGAACTTTTCTCCTGTGTCAGGAAGATTGATAGAAGTCTCGTATACTTGATCACTATTTCAGATATTCTGTGAAAGAAAAAGAACTTATTTAGCTATAGTATTTCTATTGCTAACTTTATAACATTTCTAGATGTCTCCTTACTTATAAGTGGATAAAAATTATTTTAGCATTTTGTAATTAATCAATAATAATTAAGACACAATCCTAAAAATTAATAATTTTTTTCTTTTTAAGTCAGAATTTAAAACTTCAGAATGAATTAACAGAAAAGGATTTAATTTCTAAGAAAGAGTTACAAGCAACATCAGAAGCCCTTCAAGAAAAGAAAACTCTCTTGGCGTTAGCAATAAAAGAAAAGGAAAAACTTGAAGTAATAATTTTTTCTGAAATGGGATGTTTTCTTCTTCATGTAGCTTAAATTTAGAAATAAAATTGAAAACTTGAATGACTGTTTCTTAATATTTTTTTTAAATTGATGCTGTGTATAGCTACAGTAATATAATGAGTATACAGTACAAAGTCTGTAATCCGGATGTCCATTATCCGGAATGATCTATAATCCAAACCTCAAAGCCACAAACTTTTTTTTTTGGTGCACGTTGGGAGGATGTGTCTTCAGATATGTTAAATCAGATATGTTAAAGAATGCTTGGCATAATTTACGGCCAGCTGCCATATTTCATTGTAAGGACGATGAAGATGATAGCAGCAAATTTGAAGGTTTTCGGACATCACAAAGTAAAGGTGAAATTTTCCAGTTATTGGATTTTGTAAAGAAATGTGGAGAAATGGTAATAAATGAAGATGGTATAACAGAAGTTTTTCATTGCTACGACAATGCCCCAATCATCGATTGATTAACGGATGGCGAAATCTGTAGTATGGTTCTAGATCCAGAAAATACCGCTTCTGAAAGGTGCAACTTTGTAACTGAACAAGAAATTATGTCTGTTTATAGAATTAAAGAGAAAGTATTAGCACAAAAAACAAAGCAACTTAAACAACTTACATTGAAAGAAATGTTTAATAAAGTAAAAAAATAAATATTAAGTTTTTTTTTTTTGTTTTTTTTTTTTTTTTTTTTTTTGTTTTTGTAAATTTTGATACCCTTTAGATCATAATTGCTCTTTATTTTGTAAATTACGGTTTCATATTTTTAATTGCATAATTTCTGCATGCCATCTTACAAGATTTAAGTTGGTGATCTATAATCTGGGAAAAACCCCTAATCCGGAGTCGCCGAAGTCCCGACAAGTCCGGATTATGGACTTTGTACTGTAGAAAATTTTCTTTTCAAGTGCAGTAAATCTTACTCTTATTTTTTATTTTAAAAAGACTGTACAGTGACAAATACTACTATTAGATTTGCTATTTTAGTTTAAAAATAATTACTTTTGAAATTAATATTGCAGGAAAAAGTGAAAGAATTAACTTGCAATCTAGAAACACTAGAACACAAAATAGAATCATACAGAAATAAATACAGGGATGACAAAACTAGTGCAGTTCCTCAGACTCATGGAGTAAGTTTGTAATTGTTTTCTTTCTTCAAATGCTATATTTATATAGTCAAGAATGATTTCTTGATTGCCGTCATACATAACTAATGGATGTAAATGGGGCAATACCAAAAATAAGGTCTTATATTTTTAACCCGGCATTAGTCGTGCAAGGTATCAAATACCCACCCACACCCAATTTTTTAATGTTTCTTCCAATTTTTTGGCGGGGAAATGGATGAGTCCTTGTATAGCTGAGTCTAATGTCATTTTAACCTTGAAGGAGAGGAAACCTTGGGTCGAATTCTAAGAATAATTTTTCAGATATCGCCTCGATGGGTGTATTATAACCCTGCACGAGTATTTGTGTTATAGTTTTGAGTATATGAACCAACTTTCAAATTATTCTTCTGATATGGCACATTATTGCCGTTATGATGAAGAAATGCGACATTTGAGAAATTTGAAAGTTTCAGTGAAAACAATGAAGAATATAACAGTTAGCATGGTCCATCTACTAAAATAGACTCAGATATAGAAGAGCAACATGTGGATTTTGATGAAAAAAAATTATTTCACAGGAAGAGATAATAAAACAGTTTAAATAAAAGAGGAATTCTGTATCAATGTTAGAGTTTCTGCAAAAAACATTATAACAAAACACCCTGGAAGTACATGTATTTCAAAGGATGTCATTTCTCCTTTGGAAGCTTGGTATCTTCTTACCTTTCCGAAGCTAATTGAAACTTTAGCAGAATGCACGAATATTTTTATCCAATCAATAAAAGAACGATTTTCCTGAGAGAGGAATGCAAAAGAGACAAATTAAACTGAAATTAAAGCTTTTATTAGACACTTATACATTTGTGGTGTACACAAATCATACACGTAAAATCGTACACGTAAAAGATCTCTGGGCAACAGACGGCACCAGAATAGAAATATTTCGCATAACTATGTCTGCAAATCATTTTAATTTTCTGATGAGATGTCTAGCTTTGATGATACTAGAACTCGTCAGAGTAGGAAAGATTTGGATAAGTTGGTTCCAATATGATAATTTTTTGAAATATTTGTGAAAACTGCAAAAAATCATATAATATCGGAGAATATGTTATTATAGATGAGAAACTGGAATCATTTAGAAGGTGATATCTATTTCTGCAATATATGCAAAAAAAAAAAAAAAAAAAAAAAAAACCTTTAAAATATGGTAAACAGTTTTTGCCCTTGTCTAATCGATAATATTTTACACATGGAATATGGAAGTATACACTGGTCAATAGCCAACAGGACAGTTTCAAGTGGATAATAGTTCAAGTAGTGTGAAAAGGTTGATCAAACCTCTCTACAGTTCGAGGCGTAATTTGACAGTAGATAATTGGTGTACATCCTATTCTCTTTCACAGAAACTTCTGAAGAAGAAAATAACTATCGTTGGATCCATAAGAAAAAATAAGAGTTATTTTTCCAATATTTTTGAATTCAAAGAAGAGAGATTTACTCCTCCATGTTTGGCTTTCATAAAGATAGAAGTATTGTTTCATATATAGCCAAGAAAATTAGAAATGTTCTTCTTTCAACTGTACATAATGATGATGCAATAGACTCATCTACAGGAGAATTGAAAAAAACCTGAAATAATAAATTTCTACAATTTATGTCAAGGAGCAGTTGACATTGTTAACGAAATGCTTGTCACGTATTCAATGGCTAGAAAATCCGTTGACTGATGAACGTTGCTGCAATAAATGCGCAAATTATTTTGTTGTATACTAAGAAACCACCTACTAAATGTCAAATGAGGCAGTCATTTTTGAAATATTTGAGATTTCAACTTTTAGAAAAATATAAAAAAAAATAGAAGCCAGCAAGCAATGCTTCCACAAAACGTAAAAGAAAAACTAAGATCCAGTGGAGACATCTCACCACATGCAAAGAATGCTAAAGTAACATATAAAACATGTGCTGTATGCCCTAACAGTAAAGACTGAAAAGCTAAGTTTACTTGTGAAAGGTGTGACAAATATATATGTATGGAACACATGGCATGTGTTTGCAGAAAATGTGCGAAATAAATGTAAGTAGCATTTTCAACTATTTTTACGAATGTACTCTTTTTTTTTTTTTTTTTTTTTTTTTTTTTACATTTCTTAAAGAGATTTTATGGTAGAAAATATAATGAAACATTCTTGGGTATGAGATGCCCTATGCGAGTAACACTGTTAACTTTTGTCGTGCGGGTAATGCCAAGTTAAGGAACATAGTGAAACTTTTAGTATGGTTGTTGGCGGCACTGTTGTAGGTGGCACTTCCTACACTCCCAGATGAGCATGCATGCTCTTCGCTGTAATGCTCAGTTGGTAGCCATTCAAAATAGAGCTCCCATTGAACACTGTCACCAAATGTGAAGTTTCCGCAGTTATTTACTTTTGGAATGCAAAAGGTGTTCAAATGGTTGAAATTCATTACCAGTAGACAGAGGTGTATGGGCAGTCATGCATGAATGTGAAAAATGTTCACAAGTGGTGTAGAGAGTTTACAGCCAGTCGTACTGAAATTCATGACCGAAAAAGGAGCCTTATACCATCAATTTCTGATGAGAAAGTCGCGAAGGTTCAGGAAAACATGTAAAGATGGGAGAATCAGTCTGAATGCTCTCTGCATGTTGATTCCTGAAGTTTCCCAAAGCATCATTCACAGGATTCTAATAGGAAAGTTGCGTTATCAAAAAGTTTGTGTAAGATGGGTACCATGTATGCTGACAAAAGACCACGAATGGCAATGAATTGATGCTTCTATTGAATTTCTTTGCTGCTGTGCACATAAAAAGGATAACTTCTTGGACTCAAATGTCATAGGTGATCAAATCTGAGCATTCCATTTTACACCTGAGACTAAACAACAGTCACACAAATGGCAGCATCTTTCCTCACCAAGCTACAAAAATTCAATTGCAGGCTGCTGGTAACTGTGTTTTGGGACCAGAAGGAGGTATTATTGGTCGACTTTCATTCTGCTGGGATCGTGATAAATCCTGATAGTACTGTGAATTACTGAAGAATCTCAGAAGAGCAATTTAGAACCTCAGCTACTGCTACCTGTTCCTTAGGTTGAAAGAGTATTTTTCTGGACAGCAGTTCTGCTCCAATAATGAAGTGAAAGATGAGGTTTAATGCTTTCTAAACTACTGCGAGCTTGTACGTGGGCCTTGTAAAACTATCGTAACATCTACAAAAATGCATTAACTTAAATGGCGATTATGTAGAAAAATAAAGCAGTCCTTCAACCTTTAAATTAATTTTATTTTTGAGATTGTTTTCATAGTTTGAGAAATAAAGTTAACTATTGTACAAAGCCATTGAAAAAACATTGATTTGATTTTAAATCAATTACTAATTCATTTACATGGTAAAAAATTTTATTTTCACGTTTATTTCACAATACAAACTGTGAAGACAATTCCGAAAAAAAAAAAAAAAAAAAAAAAAAAAAAAAAAACAAAAAAAAAAAAAAAAAAAAAAAAAAACAATCTAAAATGGAAGTTCATCTCTTTCGATGACTAAAATGACCTTTATTAATTTTTGAGTTTCTAATTTTTAGTTCTTTTTCTTGCTGCCTCTTACAGTGCGTTTCCTGCATACTGTTTAATTGAGTTCAGAAGCTCACAATTTTAGTTGTGCTTTTATGAAATTAAAATAGTCATGATTCTTAACTGAAATAGATGACTATTTAAGATAGTTTCTTGCTTCACAGAGCTGCTAATCACTGTGCTTTGTTGTGCTGTTGTTGACTATGAATTTCTAGATATTTTTTTTTTTTTTTTAAATTTCTAATGGCAGATTAGAAGACAACTATAATTAGAAATACAAGCATATTAACAGAATTTCCAGATAGCTGATAAGTGAGAAAAAAAATGGAATTTCTGAGACCAAAGCTAGACTATTTTCAGGTGTTGCAGTTACCAATTACAGTTTAATGTATTATTAGGTCATTAAATTGTAATTGATAACTGTGTAGGCCAACTATTTATAGCTGTCTGCAAGCTAATATTTCATCAATCCCCCCCCCCTTCTTGTGCGCAAATTATTTTAAGTTTCAAACAGCAAGTCGTGGCAAAAGGAGAAATTTTATTTTGTACTTATCAAGCAGTATTATATGTCCTTGATGTTTTGCTGTTGAACTTACTTTGGGGTAACATAAATTATGTTGTTGCATTTCAGTCAAATTGATGAAATTTTAAGTTAGAATTACAAGGTTCATTTTTTAATATATATATATATTGTGTCTTTGTTATTGCGTTGTATGGATAAGAGAATAAAATTAATAAATATTTGAAAGAAAATTAATACATGAGATCCTTTATTTATATATTGTATTTTTATGTGTGCTTTATTTATTGTATTTTTAATAATTAAATTATTAATATATGGGATTCAGATTTCTAACACCAAGTGCTTTACTTATTTGTTTTATTTTTAATAATTGTAAACTTTTGTTGATTTTCATGTGTGTAATGCATAAAAAAATTTTCCACATTTTATCAGTAACTGCTAAATATTTTTAAAAATTCTTGCATTTTTGTTGGAACAAATAAGTTTTACTTTTGCATAATGAAACTCGGCAGTGTCAAAAACAAATGAGCACTAAACAATATATTGGCAAAAAAAGGATTCTACATATGTTTTTGATGTAAAAAAATCTTAAAAAGATTTTGTACCTGCATTGTACTTGAGCTTCAATCTTTTTCAACGGATTTACACTATTTTTGGAATATACTCCTGATAATATTGCCTATAAGGCAACCCTGAAGATATTTAAAACCTTGTAATTTCTTTTTTCAACACTTGAATTTAAATTTTGTGAACACTGTTAACTTTGATTGTTGTTCTATTTGAGCTAAGAAAACTCTAACTTGTTAAATTAAGTTTCGTAGTTATTCTAACTTATGATTGTTTTATAAAACTGTTTTAAATAAAGGACAGTGTACTTAAACATCTTAATTGTGTTAAATGCACAACATA